AGGTGGGCAGGGGCAGGGACAGAGGAGTAGGCACTGAGAAGGAAGGAGCACTTGGCAGGGAGACAGCACCCAGTCTGGTTTCCAGCTCCTGCTCTGTCACCCATTCACAGTGTGACCTTGAGTTACTCCCTGTCCTCCAAGCCTCAGTTTTCCCAGCCATGAAATGATGCTGTTGAACTACGTGTTCTTTGGGGCCACATCAAGTCGCAATCATCAAACTCTAGGACCCTAAGAAGGGGGTGGGAGAAAGTTCCCCTCCTGCAAGGCTCCCTCTGCATTCCTCACCCCATATTGCCTGCCCCAGAAGGTAGCCTCATCCTCTGAGGATCCCAGCAGAGTTCTCTTCGCCAAGCCCCGGCACAAGGCGTCCCCAAGCCCCACCGCCACCTGGGAGAGGGCAGGGTGTCCCTGGGCCTGAGCCTAAGGGTGTCAATGATGGAGAGACCCACCCACACACCCAATAAGTTCCAAAGGATCCTCCTCCAATTCAGCGAGAGGCAGAGATGTTTAAAAGCCAAAATCCTGACCTGGATTCTGTGCGGTCCAATTCCGGTCTTCTGGGAAAGCAGTGCAGGTAACAGGGGGGTGCAGGCCCCACCAGCGGGGAAGGATCCTGGCTGTCACAGCAGCTGGCAGGGTGGGAAGGGGTCCCAAGGTCGGATATACTGACTCCCTGTGCTGTGCTGGGCGTGCAGAGGGACTAGGTATGTGAGTCACTCACCTGTCAGACCTGCCAGGCGGGAGGACAGGAGGAGGCCCACAGCCCATAAGGAAGTACTACATTGAGTCAGGCCCGCCAGGGCTGGGCCAAGCCAGGCAATTCACCACCCAGCTTGGGAGGCCCAGGAAGTAGCCAGGGTGAGGGAGAGAGGAGAAGCATGAACAAAGGTGGGAGCATCGAAAGCAGGGTGCAGGCGGAAAGTCTGAGCTGTGACAGCTGCGTACTGGCTCAGGAAGGGCATGGGCACAGGGGAGAGCTGGAAATGCACCCATGGACTGGGACCATGAGAAGGGAAAAAAGCACACGCTTTGACACCAGAAAGTTTCAGGCTTGAAATCCTGCCCTTTCCAGCTGCATGACTTCATCTCTCCAAGCCTCAGTTTCCCCCTTGTTCCATTGGAGTCGTCCTGATAGGACAAGGTTCTTGTGAGAATTACACAAGACTATGAAGTGAAAAGGCACCAGGGTCCCCGCTCCTAGGAGATAGACACTAACAATGGCTCTCCTTACAAGGGTGCCTGTTCAGGAAAGCAGGACAGCACGTTCAGGACAGGCCTGTTTGCACTCTCATTGTCAGGGTTAGTGGCCCCCAGATGTTAGCCAAACATCTGCTGAGCGGAGTAAGGGCATGAGTTATCTGAACATCAGGAAAAAGTCGCTTAACCATAAACACTTACTCTGTCCTTACCATGTATCCCTGAGAACTCAGGATGGGGAATTCAAAGACGGGGGGTCTCTCTTTTCAAGGGCCCCAAACTGGAACCAGGAAACATCCCTCCAGACTCTGGCCAGGCCCTTTTAAAGGGACAGCTCTCCCCACTGTTACTTCTGCAGGTGGAGGGGCCCTTCTCCACCTCCCTGCCTCTTTGCTCACACTTCATGCTCTAAGAACAATGACAATGACGCTCTAGCGAGGACAGAGGGCTCCTGTCTGCGATGCTGACCGAGGTGCTTTACAGGCAGGCAGATCTCATTTCATTCTCCTGCACTCCTCACACTCCCCACCTTATAGCTGGCTCATGGTGGAGCCAGGACTCGGATGGAGGCGGCCTCCCAGTGGGGGTCAGGGAATGAGGCACACGTTCGCTCTCTCCCTGCCTTCCAAACACCCACAGAGAGCAGTTTGCACATGAATGCCTAGATTTCACCCCAAATCTGGCCTGCACCCTGCTCCACTTTCTGCTACAGGACACAGCAGTCGAGCCTCAGGGTCTTAGATCAGGGGTTGGCAAACTATAGCCCTTGGGCCAAATCCCCCCCATCCCTGTTTTTGTAAATAAAGTTTTATTGACATACAGCCACAGCCATTTGATTATTGCCCCTAGCTGCTTTGGAGAGACAAGGGCACAGTAGAGTAGTGAGAGACAGTAGGGTCTGCAAATCCAAAAATATTTGCTGTCTGGCCTTACAGAGAAAGTTTGCTGATCCCTGGAGATGATAATGACGATGATGGTGATGACAGTGATGATGGTGATGATGGTGGGGACGGTGGTGGTGGTGACGGTGGTGGTGGTAATGGTGGTGATGGTGGTGATGGTGGTGACGGTGGTGGTGGTGATGGTGGTGATGGTGGTGATGGTGGTGACGGTGGTGGTGGTGATGGTGGTGATGGTGGGGCTCAGGGGTAATGATGATAATCCTGGTTTCTGACTCTTACATGTTTTAGCCACTAAAAACCTCTCCATGCTTAACTTCATATAAGCCTCTCAACAAGGTCTCCCCCTTTTTGCAGAGAGGGAAACTGAGGCTTCTGAGAGAGAAGTCACTTGCCCAAGGTCACACTGAGGGTCTATAGCAGATGGATATTTTGCATTAAGGGCTGATGGAAACCAAAGCTTCTGGCGCCGCGAGTTACCAAGTGAGCACACAGGCCTGGGGCCCGAAGGGTTTAGCAAGCCCTAGTAGGACTGACAGTTGCACACCTCGGGAGAGAGTCGACACGCATCTCATTTGATTCCCACCTGGAAGGCTGCCTCGATCTGAGTCCTGGCTCCATCATGAGCCAGCTGTAAGGTGGGAATGCGAAGAGTGCAAGAGAATGAAATGAGATCTGCCTGTAAAGCACCTCGGTCAGCATCGCAGACAGGAGCCCTCTGTCCTCTCTAGAGCGTCATTGTCATTGTTCTTAGAGCATGAAGTGTGAGCAAAGAGGCAGGGAGGTGGAGAAGGGCCCCTCCACCTGCAGAAGTAACAGCGGGGAGAGCTGTCCCTTTAAGAGGGCCTGGCCAGAGTCTGGAGGGATGTTTCCTGGTTCCAGTTCAGGGCCCGTGAAACAGAGATGTTTACACTACCGCCTCCCTTGCCTTCATTCCAGCACCTTCCCTTAACCCTGTCCGGGGGAGAGGCTGCCACTGTTGGGAGGCTGCACTCATGTTCCCGAGCCTCACCCCAGAGGGTCACTGCCTTTCCCACCTCACCCACCCGGAAGAGCCGGCCTGGGCTTTGCACTCTGGGAAGTAGCACCAAAGGTCATGGCAGGGGGTGCCAGAGTCACCCTTGGTCTTTTCCTTGGGAAACCTGAGCCAGCTCCCTATTTTCCAAAGGGTACAAAGGCCTCTGGAATTTCCTCTCCTCCTCTCTGAGGGTCCTCTCTTGCCCCTCCTCTGTCCATCCCACCCTCAAGTCCAGGTGGCATTGTAAGGGCTGAATATTAGTTGAGAAGGAGCCGGGAGTCCAGAAAAAAACTCAGTAAGTCCACCTCCATTTCTTTTTCCCCAAACTGTTGTTCACTCCAAGGGGTTAGGGGAGCTTGCGTTTCCACCGCCCATTCTCAATAACTGGTGGCCTAAGTGACGCTTTGCTCGGGGGACTGCAGCCAGCAATGCCACCAAGCATTTGGGAAGCACTTGTTTGCCAGAACTGCCTGTCCTCTCACCCACAGACACTTATTTACTCACTGAGCCAGTGCCCCAAAGAGCCCTGACTCCTCAGGCCTTTACCCTAGTCTGCTTGAGGCCTAAACGCAATAACATGACCAGCTTTCCGCTAGCTGAAGCCAAACTTTGATGCAGAAAGAGTATTTCAGTGCCCACCAGATGCCAGACCGTCTGCCCCCTCCCCACTACAGGGAGGGGCTGGGTCCTTTCCGCCCTTGTATCCTTGCCAACCCCCTACTCCTCCCACACCCAGCACCAAAAGATGCTCAATTAAGATTTGCGGAATGAATGAATGTTCCGAGTTGCTCCAGACCAGTGTCGCTCTCCCTCAGCACTACTGACCTGTTGGACCAGATACCTCTCTGTCGTGGGACCCTCCTGTGCACTATATGAAGTTTAGCAGCATCTCTGGTCTCTACTCCCGAGATGCCAGGGGTACCCACTCCTCCTAGTTGAGTTCATCAAAAATGTTGCCAAATGCCCTCTTGGTTGCCCCAGGTGACAACCCCTGCTCAATCATCGGTTCCATGTGACTCCCTCACCAACCTTCTGAAGAAAGCAGAACAGGTACTATTAGCCATGTTATCAGTAAGAAAACTGAGGTTTGCTAACACCAGGAGATGTGTCCCATGTCAGTTAGTTAGTGGCTCAAAATCACAAAACAGAAATGGAAAAGATACAAATTACTCTAATGGATGCCTGAAGGATGAGTGAGGTCGCTGGGGCAGAGGCGGGACTGGGCCAGGGCACTACGGGCACCAGAGGTGACACGCCCTCCTCCTGCACCGCCAGCCAACTGGCTTCCGAGGTGAGGAGGTCCCCAGGCCAGGTCAAGATGTCAACCCAACCAGAGCCCAGGATGACTTGTGGAGGCCCCATGCTTATATCTCAAAATAAGAAACCAGAAAACACAAAACATGCGTGTATGCAGAAATTAGCATAGCATCTTTCTGAGTCCTCTGATTGAAAAATTCCAGGTAAGTTCATCAAAGTAGAAATAGTTCCATCTGGGGGTGACCCAGCTTAGTTTCTTATTGAGAGGGAGGGGGCCCAATCCCAAACGACCCCCATTTCCTTTCTGAGAACCATTTGCCACTCCCAAGGTTGGGTTCCACCAGCCATAGTGACACCATGTGCCCCCGAGCCATGGTGTACACACCTGACAGTCACAGCCTGCCTCAGAAATGTGGAACTAGAACCATGCTGATGGCTGGAACTGAGCACTTGCGACCCAAAAGTAGTAGGGTGGACACCCTCTGCCACATGCTCAGAGAGGCCAATAAATTCACAATAGCCAAAAGGCAGAAACAACCCAAATGTTCATGGGTGGATGAATGGGTAAACAAAATATGGTCCACCCATACAATGGCATATTATTCAACCTAAAAAGGAAGGAAATTCTGACGCATGCTATCGCATGGATGAGCTTTGAAAACATTGCTTGTATGCTAAGTAAAATAAGCCAGTCACAGCGGTCACATTATACGATCCACTTCTAGAAAGTACCTAGAATGGGCAAATTCACAGAGACAGAGAGTCGTAATGGTGGCCACCAGGGCCTGGGGCTGGGGAAAAGGGGTGACTGTTTAATAGGTGCCAAGTTTCTGTTTGGGATGACGACAACGTTCTGACACTGGATAGTGGTGATGGCTGCAGAACACCACGAATGTCCTTAATGTCACTGAACATTACACCTGAAGATGGTTACAATAATAGATTTTATGTTATGTATATTTTACCACAATTTTTTAAAAAAGAGAGAGAGAGAGAGAGAGAGAGAGAGAGAGAGAGAGAGAGAGAGAGAGAGAGAGCCGGCCAAGTGGCTCAGTTGGTTAATAGTTAGCTTAAGAGCGCGACTCTGAGCAACAGGGCCACCTGTTCAATTCCCACATTGGCCAGTGATGCTGCGCCCGGGCTGAGCTGTGGCTGAGCTGCCAACAGGTGGCAGGATGGCTCAGCTGGTGACAGCACATGCTCCTAACAAGACTGCCTGTTCGATGGTGGGTTACGCCCGCCCGCAACTAAGAATGAACTCAGCACCTTGAGCTGAGCTGCCGCCCGGATGGTTCAGTGGATAAAG